CAACACACAAAGTTGTATATGCGGCAAAATGCATGTCAGCGCTGAGAAAATGGCAGCAGCATGCTTTTGAATCAACACATTTCCAACTTCCAAGGTGCTTTAGTTCAATAGCACCACTGCTATTTTCTGTGTGCTGATGAGTATTTTGCCGCTTATGCAACTGTACGTGGCATAGTGCAGTTCACCTCAGCTCGTGTGCGGAGCAGACTTTATTACTCAAGTCTGGTCTGAAGCGGCAGATCTCTGGCGTGTCACTGGAAAAAAGTATGTGTATAAATGCCCAGATTTCAAAGCACAGGGTAATGAAAGGGCAGTTCAATAAGACAGGACAAGAGTCTTTAAGAAAATACAAAACATTATGGGAGTGTTTGGGTAGTAGTGAGTGGCAGTTAGGCAGCTAGCAGTGGGTAGTGAAAGGTGAAAGGACAGACAGGCAAAGAGAGAAAAAAAATGATTGCTTCGCATTAGAAAAGCATAAAACATTTGACAGACAGAGACTTGATGAAAATTATTTAAGGTCACTTCCCACTGGGACTGAGTGACTTAAAATACTCAACAGAAGTAGTAAATAAAAACTTGGTTTTAGCTACTTCTTGATAATGAACCAAAATATCAGACAATTGGAAATGTGATTTGCTAGAAGTCTACTTCCTTTCTGTTTAGTGGGAGGTAGTTAGCCATGTTGTCCTGTCTTAAGGCAGAAGGAAGAGCAAGGTGGCATATTAGAGTCTAACCTTAGAGACTTCAGAAAGACACAAGCTATGAATGGATTTGGAGAGAGCAGTGGCACTAAATAGCATAGAGTAGAATAATTATTTATAAAAATAAAATTACTTTATTCCTTTCTATTTAGTGTCCATAGACCCTGCAAGTCCATTCTTAGTACCTGATGAAGTGACTGTTACCTATGAAACCTTATGCCTTTCTGAATGAGTGCCAGGTTGCTCCACCTTCTTTCTGTTTGTATAGGAAAATGAGGCTGTGTCTAATAAAGAAAAATCGAAGTGGAAATTAGAAAAGTAACTTTTATATTCTGGTCTGTGACTCAGCCTAGCTGAGCACATTCTCCCACCTGCTCCTCTATAACTCCATGGTACTTGTGGGGGAGTTCAGTTTTGCCAAACCTGCACTTGTCTCCAGTAATAAGCATTCATTCATTTGATATGCCAATGATTTCACCCTTCCCGCTACTCATATTAAAGAACCATGATACCTTTTAAAATGGATTTAAAAATCTGAAGGAATTGACTTCTGGTCTGGCAGTCAGGGATAAGAACATATTGCCAGCAAGGACTAGTATTGATCAACTGTTTTTCTGAGCATCTGATACTGGCTACAGTAAAAGATGGGTTACAGACCTAGATCAACCTTGGCTTAGATGATCCAGTAGGCAGTTCCTATGTTTCCATATTTTATAACAATATAAAATAGGCACTGTATTACAGACCAAGTACTATCTCCATTTTATGTTCATCAAAATGATTGGTTTAGTAATTAGATAACATTTGTTAGACACTGGCTGTATGCAGTATTGTAATAGAAACTACTGGTAGAGCTGCATTTTCTAAAATACATTTTTGATTTAGGTATGTAATAAATCAGTAACTTAGAAAAATCCTACAGTTCAAGATATCAAAAATAATATGAGCCCACATACTTAGCAGTAGAATCTAGCTTTTAACATCTCAGTTAAAGTTACTAAAAAAATTGCCATTTATTGCCCTGGACATTACATCAGACTCTTAGAATTTAACAATTTGGTTTAGGGACTAGAGGAGGAATATTAATATAATCCAATGCAGTACATGAAATTGCATATAGCTTCTTGGACTTAAAGACAGTAGATATGATCCAATTACAGTTACCAGAAAACAGATCTGTTTGTTTTATGCAAACCATAGGGACTCATATATTTCATTCTGGGCATCTCCTTATTGACCAAAATGGCAGCATTTGGGGGGATTTCCCCATTGGCCAAAATCAAAATGGTAACTATCATATAAACATGGCTAGCTATGATAATAAAAACCTAGTGATTATTTTCAAGTTAATTACCTTATTGTACATACTTCTAATTGCTACAGTAGGTTATGTTTGTTTCTGTAACATTATATTCAGAATAGAAAAATAGCTACCTGCTGTATTTAAAGAAGTAGGAACATTTGTATTTGTTCTTGTCTCTGGAAATAGTACAGTACTTCGGGGTAGAGCTTCAGCAAAAGAGGCCATTAGCTTGATGTTAAGTAATCCCAAATAACCACAGGAGATCCTTGATTTTATTGGTTATCAGGATTCAGGCCACCCGCAAATTTTCTTAAGTAAATCTTGTGAAGCCAACATAGTTATAGAAGAAATTAAATAATTAAAAATAGTCAGCGTTTTCTTTTCCCACTAGGCAATACCATGCAACTCAAAACATAGTAATGTAACTGTAGTACCTATATGTACTACACAGTACTATGTAGTACATAGTAACTGTAAACATGTTATTCTCCAGCCCCTCCCCAAAAAATGGTGATCTCCTTCTGAAAGATAATTTAATTTATTCTTAATGGTTTGAATCACTCCTGGGGGTCAAAGGCATCTTTTACATCAATTTGCAAAAGCAAATTAATGTTTTGAAAGAAATGTAAAAGTCAAGTTGCTTGGGAGTACATTAAATTATATGCTAGTTAATGGTGTTAGAGAGGCGGTTTAAAAATAAATTGCCCATAATACCTTTTAATAAAGGAACTAAATGCATTTTTGTTCCCTGCTAAAAGCAGATGCCTATTTGGCACTGTTTGGAATCCCATTTGCCATGTATATTTTGATTAATACTATGCTGGGTAATCTGCACTACGTGGTCTAGGTTCAGTAACCTCACTGTAAAATAATGAGCCTTCAAGAATAAAAAATATGTTCACTATAAAGTTGCATATTCTGAGAAGCACTGAACATATTCAAATGAAATGAAAAAAATGAGGCTCTCACCCAGTAAATTTGCTCAAAAGTGAAACTTACATTTCTCAATTTGTATTTAGCTGTCAGTCTGTGCTCTGAATACTGGACGAGCCATCAACCTTTTGAATATGTTTTCTATAAATACCTTTTCTTCTCTGATTCAGCTGCCATTGAACTACGAGGAAGTCCTAGTCTTAAGGGAGCTTACAGAAACTGGGCTGCAGCCAATAGCAGTGAGTTCACTCACTAAGTAGTATCTTCAGAAAAAGGCCCAGCACTCATATTTTATAAAATATGTAACATGATTTACCCAAGGTTGTCAAAAGAGATGAATTTCAGCCAAATGCAGGGTAATAAATAGTAATATGTGCTGCATATAGTTGACTTATAACCCTTGGCATTTTGAAACAAAATTCTTTTGAGGAATTCATTTTATACGTCATAAACTTTCCTATTGTTTTTCCTGTTTTCACTGTCTTTGTCATGAGATTTCTTATGAAAAGTATTAGTGGAAACTGTAAATGAAGCAATATTTTTAATACTTACACAGGGCTTTACTTCCATGGTGTTCTTGAAATAAGAAAGTTAGTAGTGTAGAAAAATGATCTGTTTCATTAAACCTGAAAGTAGAAAAAAGAGCAATAAGGAAATATGCTTGTGATTTTCTTTTTTTTTATTTAATGATTATAAAAGTTGACAGGGTTTTTTCATAATGTACTAGTATTGTTTTGAGGCACTGAATGATTTAATTTCTTCTTTTTACCAATTTAGAGCTAAAATGTTAAAATGTACCCATGTGAAAGGTGCCAATGTTATTTCAGGGAAACACATTTTTAAAGCAAATATAGTTAATATTTTCCAGTGTATACTGGCTTAAAATCTTCTGGTATATCTAGAATTACAAATTTTGAACAACCATAAAATTAATGTTCTTTGCTGCCTTCCTATATTCTAGAACAGACAGTCAAACATATGGCTTACAAGCTAGATTTAGCCAGAGGAACCTAGCTATCCAGCCTGCTGGGCTACTGGCAAGCTACTGTAATCTGGGGACATGGCCTGCTACAGAATGTGGGGTCCTTCAACCCTGCTGGCCATGACCATCATTGGTCAACTTGGCTTACCACCACAGCTACCCCTGGACTCCCACCACTGCCAGACACCTCGCACTCCTGCTGACCTGTCCTGAACCCCTCACCACCTCTGGGCCCACCACTGGATGCATCACTGCCTCTGAACCTGTTGCCACTGCTGTCACAGTTGCCACTGCCACAGTGGCCATGGTGGCTGCTTTTATGCCCCAAGCTAGATCTAGCATACAAAGAGGTCTATGGTCTGGATCTGGACCAGGGTCACTAGTAAGTTGGATATCCCTTCTCTAGAATTTAGGATGCCAAGGTCCTATTGGTATTCTACAGAAACAGTAATGGGTTGTCATAATGTACTAGATACTTACAGTTCCTAAGAAATGACTACAGACATTTTAGAAAGTGTATTTCCTTTAAAATGGTCTTGAATTTTTAGATAACTTTCCAGGATGGTCCAACAAAGCTAATATTATACTGTCTTCGATCCTTACCTACTGAAACAGAGAAAAGAACAATGCTTATCCTCTCCAAAGAGAATGTATCTGTGATACAGGCTAGCCAGCGACTAAGGCTTAAGGTAATAGGCTCATCTTTCTTCATATAGTCTACAAGCAGAAGAAATTAAAAGGAAAATAGTTTTGCATATTAATGACATGGAAATATACATGAACATAGACCATTCACTGGGTCACAAACTTAATAGTGTTAGCACTACAGTCACACACCCTGAGGTAGCTTGTACTATTATAGGTTACCTTTCAAAATGTTATTTCAAGACTAAAACTACAGCCTACCTCAAACAGGGAAATGACACAAGGGAAGAACTGATATCTCCATTGCTACACACAGCATATTTTAATCACATCTTTCTTACTTTAGCCTTCACAAATCAAGTTGCACAGGGGCTTGAAATTGAAAAGTCAGCAGACATACTGGCTAGGGGCAGACATTACACATAAACCGGTTTAAGTGATCAGAAACTGGCTTAAACCTGTAACAGAAGAGATGTTCAGTGCACATAAACCAGTTTGAGAAGGGCTGAGACCGGTTTGAGATAAACCTGTAGTATCAGAATGTAGTATCAGACTTAACTGATTTGGATCAAACCAGTTTCTGTAACGTCTGTCCCAGACCCCTTGCTGGTTTAAGATAAACCAAACACCCCCAGCATCCCAGCATGCTCTCTGGGCTGGGCGGGGCTCTCTGTTCCACAGCAGGGCTGGGCTCTCCCCTCTGCTCCTTGGCTGCAGCTCCAGCACAGACTGTGGGCTGCTCACCCCCTCCCCCTCTCCACTCCCTGCGAAGCAGGAATTCCCCACCTCCCCTCTGCCTTGTGGAGAGATATCTGTGTATTAGCTAGCATGCTGGCTACAGTCCATGCTGAGTCAACAGGTAGAATGAACAAACAGAATCAACAAGTAGCTGGTAATGTCCCTCTGTTGTTCTATCAATTACCTGCTTGCCTAATCACAGCGTCCTGCTGGGGGCTGCTCTAGTGCCCCCCAGCTTCTAGCATAAGCCATTACAGACATGTGCCTGCATTTATGGGATGTGTGTCCGGTTACAAAACTGATTTAGCCTAGCCAAGTTAAACTAACCTGCAAAGATTGAATCAATTCAGGTTCAGGCTTTTTGAATGTCTGTCCCTACCCACTAAGTCCAGTGGTAAAACTACTTGGCTCAATATGGCTGATGTGCCAGCAATATATCCTGCATTAAGTGATTTGCCTACTGTCCATTGTTTGCAAAAGATTCCCCTTACAAGCAGGAGAAATAACGTTTTTCCCATGCTTGATCTTGCCCTTTTGCCTTTGTCAAAGATTAATGTTTTTCTCCTCTACTTTTCTGAAGCACAAGTCAATGTGATTGCATTTTTGCTTTCTTGTTTATTCACTAGCTTTACCAGATGTCAATATAGGTACAAGAAGTTGGTTTCCTAATGAACCTGTGCAATTTCTATTGAGTAGACAGTAGTAGAGTCGCTATATATCCATATATATGTTATGTATATATATCCATATGCATGCTATAATATCCAAATCTCTCTGTCGCACCTGAGATTGTTTCTTTCTGCATACCATCCTGCTTCAGATTACATCTTCAGGCGATTTTGTACTGGCTATCATTCCTTGCGATGGCCACCTTTCTTTG